ACTGTCGGAGGGTCAGTACTGACCCTCCGACAGTGCGGCGCTCCCTCAGTACTGACCCTCCAACAGTGCGGCGCTTCCTCAGTACTGACCCTCCGACAGTGCGGCACTCCCTCAGCACTGACCCTCCGACAGTGCGGTGCTCCCTCAGCACTGACCCTCCCACAGTGCAACACTCCCTCAGCACTGACCCTCCCACAGTGCAACACTCCCTCCGCACTGACCCTGCATCTGTGCCTGTACTCCTTATATACTGAAACTCCAACAGTGCTTTGCCTTAATACTGCCCCTTTGATAGCGTTGCACTCTCTCAGTACTCACTTTAAAAGTTTTGAACTCCCTTGGCGTTTAGCCTAGTTGGGCAGACATCTGGTTTGTGATGAAGAGTGCTGCCAGCATCATGTGTTCAATTCCAACACTGGCTGTAGTTACCCTGAAGGACTGTCCTTCTCAACCTCCTCCCTCACCTATTTCCTCTTAAATCCCTCCCACTAATTAGTGATCTGGGGACTAACCATAATAAAGTGATGCATAGAGCTTTCCTGCTCCTCTGATGCTGCTTGGCCTGCTGTGTTCATCCAGCTCTACACCTTGTTATCTCAGATTCTCCAGCATCTGCGGCCGCACTTGGAGTATTGCGTACAGTTCTGGTCATCGCATTATAGGAAGGATGTGGAAGCATTGGAAAGGGTGCAGAGGAGATTTACCAGGATGTTGCCTGGTATGGAGGGAAGGTCTTATGAGGAAAGGCTGAGGGACTTGAGGCTGTTTTCGTTAGAAAGAAGAAGGTTAAGAGGTGACTTAATAGAGACATACAAGATGATCACAGGATTAGATAGGGTGGACAGTGGGAGCCTTTTTCCTCGGATGGTGATGGCTAGCACGAGGGGACATAGCTTTAAATTGAGGGGTGATAGATATAGGACAGATGTCAGAGGTAGGTTCTTTACTCAGAGAGTAGTAAGGGCGTGGAATGCCCTGCCTGCAACAGTAGTAGACTCGCCAACTTTAAGGGCATTTAAATGGTCATTGGATAAACATATGGATGATAATGGAATAGTTTAGGTTAGATGGGCTTCAGATTGGTTTCACAGGTCGGCACAACGTCGAAGGGCCTGTACTGCGCTGTAGTGTTCTATATTCTATGATCCGTCCAGTTTCATTTCTTTGTGTCTTTGTAGCAATTGGTACAACTGAGTGGCTTGCTTGGCCATTTCAGAGGGCAACTGAGAGGCAACCACATTGCTGTGGGTCTGGAGTCACATGTAGGCCAGACCAGGTAAGGGTGGCAGTTTCCTTCCCTGAAGGATATCAGTGAGCCAGGTGGGTTTTTCTGACAATCAGCAATGATTTCATGGTTCTCAGCAGATTCTTCATTCCAGATTTTTTTTTTATTGAACTCAAATTCAAATTTCACCATGTGCCGTGGCGGGATTCGAACCCTCGTCCCCAGAACATTAGCTGAGTTTCTGGATTAATAGTACAGCGATGGTAACACGAGGCCCCATTTACAAGATGCCAGTTTGGTTCAATGACATGATTCCAACAATAGGGAGTCTAATACACTGCCTCTGACAGTCATAGCTATCCCCATCACTGGGAAAGGACAGAGTGCTGGCTTTCACAGGGAAGGCAGGCTGTAATATCGCCCAGCCTCCTGTTACTCAGCCTCACTCTCTGCCAGATAACAGAATAGGCTCAGTCCTTCGCCTGTAGGTGGGTGTGGGGGTGACCTCTCCGTGGTACTGGTTCAGTCTGAGCTGAAGGAAAATGCCCCCTACATCAACCGCAGCCCTCAGTGCCAGCTCCCTTCCCCGGGCACTTACATAGCTGTCACTGTGACTGTGGTCCGAGCTTTGGCCACTGCTAGGCACATGCTGTCCGATGGCGATCCCCGTCTGCTGGTACTGACACCTCCTGCTGCCCTCGGGGCTGGGGGCCGGGTGCCAAGGGATGGCATCGGGACCCACGTTCCCTGTGAGCGAGAGTGAGAGGATAAGAACATGATTGGGGCGTGGAGTTGGGGGGAGGAATGGTGGGAGAGGGAGAGCGAGGTGGAGAGGAAGAGTGAGGTGGAGAGGAAGGGGAGCTGTGGGTGGGGAAGAAGGAGAGTGGGGGTTGAGAAGGAGAGCAGGGGGTGCGGAGAGCGGGGGAGTTAAGGGAGATTGTGGGTGGGGAGAGAGAATGGGAGGAGACAGAAATGGGGGTTAGAATTGGGGGTAGGGAGAGTGGGAGAGATAGGAAATGGGGGATTTAGGGAGAATGGGGAGGGGGGAGAAAGACAGGGGGAGGAAAGATGGGGGGGCAGAGAGAGAGAGAAAGGGAGGAAAAGGGGGTAGGGTGGGGCCAGCAGTTTGTAACAAATGAGCTGGAAACCAGGAACTACCAGCTCCCCCCCACCCCCTAACACAGTGGCACCCCCCACTCATACAGAATGACCCAACTGCACCAACCTGCTCTGAGTGAACACCCTCTCCCAGAGAGTGGCCCTCACCATAGGGCTCCTACAGTGGCAGATACCCAGTGGGGGCTGGATATTATTTGCACCCCTCTGCCTGTGCAGTGGTGGGGTGGGGTGGGCATTGGTGAGGGCTGAAGCCAACCCAGAGACCACTGCCACACGCTGAGCCAAACATAACCCACCTCCCAGCTTCCCCCCAACTATGCTCCCTACTTCCCGACATCCCCTTCCAACCCCATATCCTGTATCCTCACAATTCCCTTTCAACCCTCAAACCGACCCCTTCCACCCCCTGGTTACCCCCCCTCGGCCCCACCCCTAACACTGCCGTCTGAGCTTCCTACCCAATACTGCGTGGCCCCACACAGGCTCACCCACAAACCCTCCCACCCTAGCCACTGGGTTACTAACCAGAGGGTGGATGGTGGAGGTTTTGGGGAGTGATGGCACAGGGAGTCTGTGACACCCCCTGCCCCCCTTCCCCCGCAGGGAGAATGGTCTCGCCATGTTCTGTCAGCACATTTATTAAAGAAGACGGGATTGATTCCCTCCTGCTATCAACCCACAATGCATGGGACACCTTTGTGTAAAACAAAAGTGAGAGAAAGAGAGACAGGCGGACAGACAGACCAGGAGAATGTTGGATGCCGTGAGTTATATAAGACCTGGAATGAGTTGCCTGGTATGGAAATGGAAACTGATTTCATGGTAATTTCTCAAACAGACTTGAAAACATCGCAGGGCTCTGGGCAAAGAGTAAGTGAGTGGAACTAACTGAGTAGCTCTCACAAGGAGCTGGCACCTAGCAGGATGGGCTAAACAAGCTCCAGCTGTGCGAGGCCATTCCACCCATCTTTCTTCTCATGTCAGCCCATCCCCCTCTCCAGCTTCCGCCACCACCCACCCCCCTCCAAAATCTGGAGAAATAGCTTTGATCGCCCGAGGTGTGATGGGGAGGAGTCAACATCCATCCTGGGCGAGCGAGGGGTTGGGGGATGGAATTCGGGATGTGGGCTCAGGGTCAGTAAGAGGTCAGCCATTAACATGCATCAGCGTGCGGAACAGTGCGGTGATACGACAGCAACAGGGAGAAGGGTGTGTGCAACATGGGGGCAGCCGGGGCGGGGGAAGGTGGGTCAGAGATGGGTGAGCGGAGCTGTCGAGGTTGAATGCTAATGTATGGTAGGGGCTGGGATGGCATGGAGAGTGCTGCAGGTTGATGCGGAGTTTTGGTGGGGGGGGGTGCTG